ATTTTAGAGGATGTTTTAGTACAAGTGGATGAACTAGTTTTTCCTGCAGATTTTTATATTGTGAAAATGGAAAATGGTCATGCTAATTCAACATCAATTTTTTTAGGAAGGCCATTTATGAAAACTGCAAAAAATAGAATTGATGTGGATAAAGACATTATTTCTGTTGAATGTGATGGTGATATAGTTGAATTTAATGTTTCTAAAGCATTAAAAGTTTTTAATAATTCACATTCTGTTTGTGCTAATGATGTTAATTTGATTGGTGTAGGGTAATCATGTTGAGCTGAATGTCGAGCATAACGACATAAAACAATTGCACTTTTGGGAGGCAACCCAAGTTTAAAGTTTCTTTCATTTTGATTTGGTTCAAATTTTACTTGGTTTCATTTGTTTTCAGTTTGTTGTCATTAAAAAAAAATAAAAAAAAACTGAAAATTAAAATATCAGAAAAATAATAATAACTTAAGCATTTTTTTGTTTATTTATCCTTTTTCTTTTTCAGGAGCTCATTTGCTCATGATGAAATCGCAACTACTCTTCATTATTCCCATCATTGGCGATTGCTTTCACATCATGAACCATGGTGCTGCTTGTGGTATCAACTCCAAGTCTTCACATCTCAAAAGAAATTTTTCAGGGAGCTTCCAAAACTCAATTCTTATGCAGTTATTATTAATTTACTGATTGCTTTGCTGGCTATTTTTTTTTAAAAAAAAAAGTGGTTGAGTTGGTTCTTTATAAAGTTGAATGATGTTTGACTAGGAAATTTGCATGTCTAAGTGCTACTATGTTTTCTATCTTTTTCTAGCTCTGCATTTTTCTTAGTTTTCACTAAAAGATGTTGTTCCAAACTTCTTGTTTACTTCTTACTTGTGCAATTACGTTGACTTACATTGAGGACAACGTAAAAATTAGGTGTGGGGGAGGATTTCCTTATTGCTAAATGTTTTCATAAACCCCTACATTGGTTTTAATGTCAGAATTATCAAATTTTTCAAAAATTTTGGCTCTCTATATGTGCTAATTTGTCAATTTATGTCAAATAATTTAGAGCCAAAATATTTTTGTGTATCCAATTGGTTTTAATGGTTAAGAATGTGCCATATTTGATGCAAATTTAACCCTTTCCGTGAGGTTCCATAGCCAAAGAGCACAATTGCTCAATCTCTGAGGGTTATCATTCATAGTATGTTACTACACTGTTTTGCTCATGTCATACATTTCATAGTTGTATTGATGAATTTATGCAATAAATGATAAGGGCATTTAGGTTTCGCCAAGTTTAGCTATCGCAAAATCATACCTTAATTGTTTACCCCTAGTAACCATTTCAAGCATGGGTCTATTTTCTAGCTCCACCAATATAATCCGGAGACTAATTTTTAGCTATCTTTTCACCTGTTATTCGGAGTATATACGATCACTACTTGATTTTGGTTTGCGGAAAGTGGTTGTGCGGTGACAATAGTGGTATGGTAGGTTTAGTATGATAGGATATATGTTCTTGTTTTAAGTCCAATAATGTTTTAGCTCTGTATATCCAAAAAGTCAGGACAGTGCCCAAAAAAAAATGTTATGAAAAAACAAATTGAAAAAACAAAATGAAAAAAAAATGCAATATGCTGAAAAAGAAAAAGAAAAAAAAAAAGGCACTTATGTTCTGTTTTTTGTCCATTCAGTTATTTGATTTATGCTTCAATTTTGTTTTTTTTTTAATAATAATAATAAAAAAAACATAAGAAAAAGAAAGAAAAAGAATAATAAAGGGGGTTTGGTGTTTACAATATTTGAATATCTTTTTAGAACACTATAACTTGGTCATCAAAAGTCTTAGTGACTTATGTTTTATGTAATAGTTCTTTTAGTAGATTGGGATTTGGTTTGTAATAGTATATCAATGTTGCCATCGTATGGGTCATCTGGAATGATGGTGAGAATTGAGTATGTGGTCTACATATTGTCGGTAACTTAGCCTTCTTATCCATATTTATCCTACCCTTTGAAATTCCTTTGACCCATTACAACCCTATGAAAGACCCTTTTGATGTTGCATAATTGTTCATTTGTTCATTTAGGTACCAAAAAGTGAAAAGATGGACCATTTTAGATTTTTATGGCCCTTTTACAAAGTTTTACGGAGTTAAAAAATGAAGAAAATTCCAGCTTCAAAGAATACACACAAATGGTTTCCTAGAATATTCTTTTTACCAAGTCAACCATCCAAATCTTGATCTCATATTCGGTTGTAGAGAATCATGCAAAAAAAATACTGATTTAGTGGAAAACTAGGATGTGATTTAGTGGATGTGATTTGATTTGGATTTTACTCCCATTTCTTTGGGATTTTTTTTTCAGCCATTATGCACTATAAATAGTGGTCTCCTCAATTGATAAAAGCAACTCCCGTAGCTTGCATTTTTTGGCTACTACTACTTTCTCCATTTTTGCTACCATTTTTCTTTTAGCCTTTTGTTTTAATTTTTTTTACACCTTTAAAAATGTTTCTAGTCACCATGCGTGGCTAGTTTTCTTCATTTGGTTCAAGGATTTTTATTCTTTTATATTATATGTGAGATTACGAGTTTTATTTTATTTTTTCTACTTTTGATTCAAGTACTTATTGATTTTGATTTATTTTTATGAGATTAGATACTTGATTAAGTATGAGTATCCAGAGAAAGAGAAGAAGAAAATAGATAAAACAATACGTCCAGATTGGCTTAGGCTTATAGATGAGGAGGAGTGGAAGAAGTATGTTGATTATGAGAGGTATAATGACAAATATTCTTATTATGGTATTCTTATTATTGTGTGTTATGTTTGTAGATGAGTATAAACACTATGGTTGGTTTGAAATTGTGTTATTCTGTTTTTCTTCGACATTAAATTTGAAGGCATAACATCATTATTTAATTTTTTTTTTTCTTGAAATTGGAATTGGAGTTATTGTTAACACAATTTTTTTTTGGTTAGTTCTGGACCAAACCTAGGCTTCGCTGACTGTTAAAGAAGCGATCCATAGGGCTAAGAAGTGTGTTTGCTACTCTAGCAGCTCTGATGATGCTTCTGGAGGCTATGTAGCAAGTATGTACTTTGTCTCACATCCATTTTTTTTTTTTAACTTTTGGTAAACATGCAAAATTTTATCTCTTGTTGTTTTCATGGAAATTTTATTTCTTATTGTTTTAATGGATTTTCCAGCATATGTGACGGGTACGGTTAGAAATTTCTTGTCCAAAAGGAGTGGATTAAAGCTTTTTTGAAGAAGGAGAAGAATATCTTACCCCCATATTGGACCCCCCTCACCCAAAGAAGATAGACAGAAAATTTCATTTTGACCTTGAAGATTGTGAAGAGTGTGAATGTGAAAATTGCCTGAGAGATTGACAAATGGAAGTCTGAAACTGCAGTCATTGGCTTGTTCAGTTTATCTGTTTCAAAAGCTGTAGAATTTTCCCTCTAGTGGTTCTCTTTATCTGTTTTGGTCCCTGTTGAATTTCACAATTTTCTCTTTGGCTTGTTGTCTTCACCTTTGGTCTTACCTTTCTCTGTTCAATTGTTGAACAGTCTCCTATATATGAATATTATGAACAAATGGAGGTTTTGAGCATTTTATTTCACCGGTGTATTCATGTTCTTTCATGTTTTCAAAAACACAATAGGTTTCTTCATTTGTGAAATTTTTTTACATCTGGTGTTGGCCTAGTTTGCCTGAAAATGGCAGGAATGAAACATTGCAATGGAACTGATTTCTTATATTAAAGTATTCAACTAAAATCAATATCACATGTAGTGCATTGTCGTGTGCATTGTAGTTCAACTAAAACCTGTTCTTATATTAAAGTATTCAACTAAAATCAATATCACATGTACTGTTATTCTCTCAATCCGCAAGAAGAGTAAAGTATGAATCCAGCTGTTGAAATGGAAAAGCTGTTATAGTTCATGTTTTTCATGCTGATGCAGAACAGGTTTCCTCAAAACTCATGTCAGGCTTGTCCCTAGAAAGAAATTCATGAGGCGGAGATGATAAAAAATGAACTACATAGGCAATGTGCAACTTTCAAAAGTAGAAAAGTTCTTCATTACTTCAAGGAAGAATCTATACATTTGTTGCTAGGAATCAGCACCCTGTAATCTCATGTCCTATATCGGCATGTCGCGATTCTACAAACTAAGGGTGTAAACCAGCCGAGTCGAGCCCGAGTTCGCCCCTGCTCGAACTCGACTCGAGTAAAAATTAGGTGAGCTCAAACTCAGCTCGAGCTCGTTCGAGCTGGAAAAATCAGGCTCGAAACTCCACTCGGTCATTGCAAAGGTGGCTCGAGCTCGACTCGACTAACTCGATACCTAATTTTTTTTCCCTTCTTTCTTTTACTAGGGCATTTCAACAAACAGGTGCCATGCATTGAAGTAGAGTACTAATTCCCGAGTACTTTGAACATCCCAATTCCTCCAAAATTAATACCAACAATCAAAGATTCTACAGGCAGCAAAACAATGATATTCAAAATACTTTTGAATCTAAACAGAAGGGATCTTGTGATCCATCTCCTTCAAGTCTCGTCAAAAAAAAAATAATAGGGGGGAGAGGGAGGTAAATTAAACTATTTCGTCTATCAAAACAGAAGAAAACAAACCTTCACATCTTCAACATCTTTCAAAGTTCTCACCAATCCCAATTTGTATTTGAGAAGAAATTTGTATTTAAGAACAGTTGATCTAAGACCTAGTCAGGAATTTTGGTTTATAAAAGTAATTTGGAAGGTTGAATGATCGATAAAATTGGGTTGATGGATTGGATCAAAGAAGAGATGAGATTAGAAAAATTTTCAAAGATGATAGGGATAAGAAAGAAGAAATCAATCGTCCAAGAGAGAAATGCAAAAGGAGTAGTTTTTTTTTTTAGGGGAAAAAGGACTAAAGATAAAAAACATGACCCATATTTAAAAAAATATATATATAATGTATATATCAGCTCGGTTAGCTTGACGAGCCACCGAGCAAGTATTACATTGGCTCAAACTCGACTTGATTAATGAAAGAGCTGGCTCGAACTCGACTCAAACTCGATCAACTCGATTTCGAGTCGAGTATTGACCGAGTCGGCTCGCGAATAACTCGCGAGCGGCTCGGTTCATTTACAGCCCTACTACAAACATAACAGTACTGAATAATAGGAAAACAATGGCATTTGGGGCTGGAAAAAAGGAGTTCTGAACCTCTGAAAGCAGGATTCTTAACAGTAATAATATACAATTTATTGTGAAAAACATATATATCTATAGAATGAAAGGAATACAGCCCAACCTAAACTTTTACCATAATGCTCTCAATCTTGTCAGAATGCTCAAAATCTCAGCCAATTATGACTTTCAAAAAGAAATCGCCAAAATTTTTTCCAATTACATAATTTGCAGGACCGCAATTATGTAAAGGCTAAGGGGAGGTCCAACCGTCCAAAGGTTTTACGGTAACACATATACATCACTAAGGTTATCTGTCATTGTAAGAATTGCAGAATTGCAGGTCTTATGTTAGAGATAGACAAAACTTCTCTAGGGAGCCATGAGCCTTTCAATCGTGTAAGTGAGTGACTTCGCCCAATCAGCTTTGAACAAAATTGTCTGGAGAGTGTGCATTACATCATAATCTGGGTCGAGCTTCCTTTGCCAACCCTATAAGACGGACAACACAAGCCAATGGAAATTAATACCCATCGATGTTCAAATTTGGGATCTAATTGTATGCAAAAAGGAGCTCATAAATTACGAAGGAGTACAATACCTCAAGAACCAAAGTTGTAACCATTACAGTGCACACATTGCCATCAATATTTACTCTATGTCGACGAACTTGTTCTAGTAACTGCTGCATGCAATCAGCTGGGTGAACCAAATCACCTTCGGTAGTGCCCCAAAAATCAAAAGACTCTTTCACCTCCTATAAAAACATGAAAGTAGACACATTACACAGGATAAGACTTCCAAGGAAATAATGCAGCCTTTGACATGCTCTGAAATACGATTCCCCCTCATAATGGTTCTTCCATTAGATCAATATTTCTTCGAATACGTTAGGGGAAGGAAGCATGAGAAAGAAAGCAGACATGGACATTTCAAAATATTAAGCCCGTTGCGATTTGGATTAGAATGACTTCAACCCAAAAATTTTATGCATCAATAACAGTGCTACCATAAGCTTATGAATGCATAGCATACATATATTTATATATCAGCGGAAGTCAGTTTAGAATGAAACTGCTGTATCAGAAAACTACAACAAAGATGCAGAAACCTTTATAGATTGGACTAAACCAAGGTCAGACCAATGAAATTGACTTTGATGCATTAAAATAGCTTGTTACTTACAGCAATAAAGGCCTTCGGATTAGGACAGTTCTGTTTCTTTGATAATCTTAATGCACACTCTGCGGCGATCTGACCGTCTCGACGAGCAACAGCCTTGAAAAACTCAACTAAGTTACTTCGATCACTTTTAGAAAGCTCAGCTGTCATTCCTACATCAAGGAAAATGACATGAGGCTTTGACTTAAAAAGTCGCTTCCGAGAAGACTTGCTCTGGCCCTCACGAACAAGGATGTTCCCTGGATGCATATCAGCATGTATGAAGTTGTCCACCTAGAAGCCAAGGGAAAAAAAACAATTTAAATTTTTTTTAAAAAAAAAAAAAAAGAGAGAAAGAGAGAGAGGGAGAGAGAAAGAGAGAACTGCCACTATTTGACTGTGGTGGTACTTTCATAGAGCATTTAAATTCATAAATACATAAGATATCCGGTGAAATCCAATATATTTTTTAAATTCACATTATGTTAGCTGCAGAAGAATCATTAATCTTACATGACATTAAACAAAACGGAACATAATTGAAATTGTTACCAGAAGCATCTTCAATAATGCATGGGTCCCAATGTGAGCAAGAGTACTTTTAAGTCGTTCATGCCCCTGAAGCTCGTCAACATAGTGGGACACACATTCCCCTTGCTCAAAAGTTTCCACTAGCACGGCAGGATGCACCAGTGGATATACCGGCTTTGGGAATGAGACATTCTTCCAGCTACGAAAATTATAAATGAAACGGCTCAGGTGGGCAGCTTCTCTTGCAAGATCAACTTGAGACATCATAAAAACTGCAAATTGCTGAACACTCTCATCCAATCTCAGCCAATTTAGCGTGGGTATGAACTTTGATAATCTTGCGACAATGTTGATGATTTCAAAATCTCTTTTAATTGATTCACCAACACCAGGGTGTCTAACCTTCACAGCGACCACCATAGGCTTCATCTGACGACCTTGATATCGATACTTCAAAGAAGCTCGGTGAACCTGAGCAATACTTCCGGATGCTACAGGAGCCTCCTCAAAGTTATCAAAAATTTCCGTAAGCTTACGTCCGAAAGCCTTTTCAATTGTCCTTTTAGTGTAGGCAAAGCTATGTTCAGGAGCTTTAGAGTGAAGCTTGGAGAGCTCAGCACATAAATCCCTAGGAAAAAGATCAGGACGAGATGCAGCCCACTGGCCCCATTTAATAAATGCAGGACCTGCTCTTTCCAGTGTCTTATGGACAAGCTGAAGCCAAATCTTCCTATATTGAGGTCCAAAAGAATCTGCAAATGGAGCCATCACAATACAGGGCGAGAAAAGAAATGCTAGTTGGAGTGCTCGGAGCAACAAATAAATCCCCTGATATACAGATACCATCAAGGAGACAACCATAACCTGGCCATCACGGGCATGCATGTACATCGAATGTCTTTGCTGGATGAAATCCACATCAGGATGTGCTTCCGCTTGTGCCACTGCCACATTTCCTCCACATGCAATGGCAAATAATCCAGGAATGATCACGTAAGAGCGGCTAAAGGCTATGCTAACAGACTGAGCAATTCTCCTTATAGGCGGACTAGTTCGCATATTGCTGGAGGATTTCCTGTAAAAACTTTTCCAAGCAAGTTGAGCTTGCTGTACAAATGCTTTACCAAGAAACTGATTTCTAGACCCAAACATTTTGAATGAACCAGGTCTACAGCCATAAGACCTCGTGAAGCTTAAGCTAACTGCCTGGCCAATTCTCTTTGTCGGACGGCTACTTTGAGTTCTCCTAGAAGACCTCTTATACAGACGCTTCCAAGCATGTTGGGAACCTTGTGCCACAATTTTACCTTTTGGAGCTGCCAAAAGTCTTCCCATCCTGTTACATAAGTGATTTCTAACTCCAAACAATGAAGATAAACCAAACTTACTACTAGGCAACCCATAGTGCGGGTACAGCCTAGAGTTTGGGGAATACAAGCCAGTTCCAATGTCCCACCCATACTTTAAGCCCCCAGAATAAATACTGCTAGCATGACCGTGGCCATGCTTCACCCCTCCTGTATAGGTGATCCTAGGCTGATTCTGGTGCAAAGATTGTGAAGATCTCTTTCCAAGGGTCAAAAATCTGCATTACCAACGACACTATCAAGCAAAACCTTCTACAATTGTGCTAGTAGGTAAGGAGTTTCAAAGGCAACGATACAAAACCATTAACACACAATAAACGATAGTAATTTTCAAGAAAAATTCATCTCTGGAATTGCAGTAAACCCTACACAAGCATATATTTCTAGAAATGATTATCCAAACTATAGGTGCCAAACAACCTAATCAACTAATACTGCTAAATCAACAATAAAAAAATCAATGATGCACTCGAAGAAAACAACCTATATTCCAATACAACTTCAAACAATAATCCAAGGTCATAAAGTCACAACTAATACTGCAATGCCTTAATCTAAGGTTGGTTGCATGAAGCCCATGTTACCATGGTCTCTGGCAGTCCAAGGCTGGGGAGATAATTCAATCATTAGACCAATTAATTTAAAGAGCTCTAAACATGGTCTTAAAGCATTTAAAACTTTTACGAAAACTTAAAATTTGAGTCGCTAGCTACAAGAATTAGTATTTTGACACTAGATGGACCTCGTACATCTATCAACCAAAAGCGATGAAAGATTTTACTGCACCACGAGAAAATGAACTCTTTATTCAAAATTCAACCTGTTAACGTTTATAATATAGTCAAAAGTCAATTCCAAAGAAAAACACAGTACCATGAAACCTATCTCCTTGCCGAAATGGAAAATCAAAACAACAACGTAATCCAGCCAAAAACCCCATATTCCAGCTCGCAGATCCTTTTTCTTAATAGTATCTTTTTAATTTGGCCATGATTACGGCAATCATTCTATTACTATCATCTGTGCTCCAAAAATAGACCTCCCACCTTATAAAAAGCACACGAAAGAGCTAAAATTTCTAAAAGCAAAGCTAAGACGGATTCAATCGAAGCACGCGAAACCAGCAATAATAGCATCAACAGAAACAGGTTAAAACAATAAAAAATAAATAAAAAAGCTCGTGGCGAAATAGAAACAAACACAAAAAAAAACGTACCTTTTGAATTCAATCATCTAACCTTGAAACCCTAATGCCCTTAAAGGCTTAAGTACGATCGCGTCCTTTACTTTGGTATCTCTCTTTTCCTTATTTGAGCTTAACAGACGGATGTGATGGTAGCGGTGGTGGCGGCGGCGGTGGCGGTCAGTCGGGAAGGAGTTTATGTTGGATCATCAATTTAATCAACAGAAATCCCCACACCTGTTTCACCCCAAAATGGATTTGGATGTTTTTGACACTGAAGAGGAGGAATTGTTGTCCGAATTAGTTTCGGTTTTGGAACGGAAAAATGTTGTTACTACCCAAAACTTTACCTTCATCGTCAATCATATCCAATAGATTTTTGGTTAACCAATTTTACTTTAATGTTTGAAACTTTCACCAATTTCATCCAATCGGCCTATTTTCCATCCAAATTAACGGATCTTCGTTTGTTTTTTTAATAAAATAATAAATTTAATTATAAAGATATCCCAATAATTTTTAAAAATAACTCCTAAAATATATATAAATAATAAAACAGTCCCTTTTCACTTTTTTATTTTATTTTTCTCTTTTTTTTTTCATTTCTCTCAATTACATTTAATGACCATAAAAGTCTATTATATGAGTTTTTTTAAAAAAATATTTATTTATTTTCAAACTCTATCGTAAAAATTAATTTTTGTATACTTGTAACCCATGATTATTTTTATATAAACATGTTAATTTTTTTAATAATATAATTTAGCAATAAAGACACTATTTTTCTGATATATTTTATTCTTCGTATTAAAAAGATTAAAAATATTTAAATGAAACTAATATTCCACATAAAAATAAAATATTAGCTCAAATAAAAAAAATATTAATATATTTTAGTGTATTCTAATTTAATTCAAGAGACTATAACTTGCATTAATAATTAAGACACTGTTTTTCTGATTTATTTTATTCTTCCTAACATAAAAATTTAAAACATTTAAACAAAACTAATATTCTACATAAAAATGAAATATTAGCTCAAATAAAAAATATTAATATATTTAGTGTATTACAATTTAACTCAAGAGACTGTAACTTGCATTAATATAATTCATAAAAAATAACTAAAATATAAAATAATTAAAACCTCAAAAAAATCCTCCAAACATAAGTTTTCCTTCTTGAATCTAAAACTTATTTTCTATCGCAAAAACTTATTACCATATTGTTACCTCCATTCATTTATTTTAAACTAAAATCATATAGAATAAGCTAGTAAGACTTCCAATATAGTTAGATATATTAACATCTCAAAAAATTATTACAAAATATTAAATCTTCACATTGATAAGTATAAACATATTTTTTATAAATTATATTATGTCATGTAGTCTCTCTATTTAAATTGTAATACACTAAACTATACTAATATATTATTTTTTATTTGAGCTAATATTTTATTTTTTTTGTGGAATATTAGTTTCACTTAAATGTTTTTAATTTTTATGTTAGGAAGAATAAAATAAATCAGAAAGATAGTGTCTTTATTGCTAAACTATATTATTAAAAATATTAACATATTTATATAAATACAATCAAGTGTTACAACTATACAAATAACTTTTACGGTAGAGTTTGAATATAAATAAATGTTTTTTTAAAACTCATATACATTTTTATGGTCATTGTAGTTGAGAGAAATGGAACAAAATAGAGAAAAATGAAATAAAAAAATAAAAAGGGACTATTTTATTATTTTTATATATTTCGGTAGTTATTTTTAAAATTTTTAAAAATTACTGGGGTATTTTTATAATTAAATTTATTATTTTATTAAAAAACTAACGGAGATCCGTTAATTTGGAACGGAAAATGGGCCAATTGGACGAAATTGGCGAAAATTTCAAACATTAGGATAAAATTGGTTAACCGAAAATCTATTGGGTATGATTGACGACGAGAGCAAAGCTTTGGGTAGAAACGATATTTTTTCCGTTTTGGAAGCTTCCCGCTGTTTGTTGTTACTTCTTCTATAAATGAGATATTATAGTAATTAATTGGCATGGAATATAAGAGAAAAGGAACTATAGGTGTTTGGTTTAGTATATTACGTAATGGAAGTAATCTAATTAGTTTGAAGAGAAGTTAGATTTAAGCTTGGAAAACTCCACGTGATGTTTGGTCAAACTACACTACTACATGGTTCTTTATTAAACATGCAGGATGATGATTATTATTAGTATTTCACTTTGTAGTAGTTGTTTAATGCGGATTTGGGTTCAAGGTTACTTTGTAGGAAAACAATTCATGGACTCTTGGCCGAAACTTTATCAATTAGAGTTCAACCTGTGGTGACTTTCTTCAAACTGTGTATTACGGTCTATAAAAGGCGGCCGAGACATCAACACAAGAAACAACACCTCTCAACATCGATCATCATCGACTATCATTTTATTCATTTTTCATCTTTTCTTTTATGTAATTTTATCATGTTGTTTTACTATAGCCTAGCTTAAATAGTATTTGGCCTATTTTCCTTCATAGAAATAGTTAGTCCTTCATCGTTTTCTGCTTCAGTGAATTAGATTCCTCCTTGTAATAGCGCATTATCGATGTTCTCCATAACTAGTCGGGGCTACCTATCTCTCTTTTTCCCCATTTTAATGAATTGACGGCCACCGCTCTTTGGTTTGTCTCACTTCTTTCTATATTTTTTTTCTCTTTATTATTAAACCCAAGTGAACCCTAAGTCCTCAATTATAGGTCTGAGTCCGGTTTTAGAACACATCAACAATCGCTTGGTTTTGTATGTTTTAGGAGATTTTCACCTCTTCTTTCTCACGCTTTAGGGTGATTTTTTCGACACAAACAACACCAAAACTTAAAACTACGATAATTTGAAAGCTTCATTCATGGTGGTTTCAAATATTTCTCAGAAGGGGAAAGAATCATCAACGATGATGATGAATGTGAATGTGAGATTGATTCAAAAAAACACTCACGGCACACACTGTTTACGATTACAAACACGGTTGATAACTCGACGAAATTAATTACATATTTGATCCTCTCAATTTATTTTATTCTTTCTTCTAGCTCCAAAACTTTCTAATAACTATTTTCACACTAAAGTTTAAGAAAAACTATATTAACAATTCACTTTTTTCGTCTCAAGAAAATAGTTAATTTTGTTGAACAAAAAAGTTCAACGTAATAAACTGGCCTAATCTTCTTGCACCATGTAATTTAGAAAAAATTAGACTAGCAATGCACTTTTTTCGTCCCAAACAAATAGTCTATTTTGTTAAACTAAAACTTTAAAAAAATTACATTAGCAATGCACTTTTTTCGTCCCAAAAAAAAATAGTTCACTTTTCTGAATTTTTTAGTTTAACAAAATAGATTATTGTCCATCGAGACATCTAGGAGTTCGTGAGTTAGACTCACCGAGACTTTTGGTGTGAATCATTAAGTTATTAAATGGATGCCCGTTTTTGTTGTCCGCATCAGGGCTCAACAACAAAATAGATTATTTTTGTAGGAAGTATCATATGCTACATTTGTAGTGATATTTCTTAATCCTCCAAATCTTTGGACGAAATTCCCAATTATCTACATGAAGGTTAAACACATTATAAGTGAAAATGTGAGATATGATCTTTGGAGTTTGGGTCAAAAAAATTACTCCCTCCGTCTTATAATTATTGTCCTATTTGAGTTTTCATTTTTAGTTCAAATTATACTAAAAGTGAAAAACCAAAGTGGACAATAATTATGAGACGGAGGGAATACGACATATCACTTTCTAAAGTGTTCGTATCATTTTCTAATTGAATTTATTTAAATCGGTGAAGCCTAACTTTCTATCTTTCTTTCATTTTTTTTTCTCTTTTCTTTTCTAGTCTTGAACATACTTATTCTTTATTACACATTAACATTAGGCATTATGGAACATTCAAAATCTAAGCTAAATCGCACTTATCATATGCCACAGACGCTCGTTAATCAAAATTACATTCGTGTCATTCTATTCCAAATATAAATCTAACAAAAGATTTCATTACTACATTTGGGGTTTTTTTTTTTTTTCCTCCTTTTCTAATGGGTAAAATGGGTACAAAATTGTTACTGTCTCTTTCATGGAAAATCTTGTAAGTTGCCATTCTCCTGAAACAGAAGTCCTTTTTCCTCTTCCACATTATCATCATGTTTCTGAGTCATCTCCAAGCTAGTGAGTTTCTTGGCTTTTAAAGATTCACCTTCCCAGTCTGTGCAGCCAACCACAACATACATAATTGAGATGGCACAGGCAGCTTGCGCAGACAATAGGCCTAACCACAATCCGCTAAACCCAATATGCAACCAGAAGGCTAACCCTACAGCAACAGGAGTGCCCACAAAGTAAAACGACCCGAGGTTGATTCGCGCCCCAACAGCAGGCCGAGCTGTGCCACGTAAGATGCCGCATCCAGTAGTTTGTGGACAGTTTCCGAGTTCACACAAGCCGATGATTGGCAAAACTGATGCGACTAATGCCTTCAGCTGTTGATCTTCTGTGAATAAGCCACCCCATCTGTCCTTGAAAATCACAGTCCAAGTAATGTTTATTAACCCAAACACAAAGGCACAACCTAGTGCAACCATTGCAGCTAACTTGGCTGTATATGGCTTCCCTGCTCCTAGTTCATTACCAACCTGCAAATGACACAACACAGACATAAGGCTGGATATTATTCTCCATTGTGTTTGTACTCATTTCACAAACACAAACTACATATTCTTAACACCACTTTTTCATTTCTAATGCAAAATTAACATCCAAAGTCCAAACCAAAACCAAAATGTTGGAAACACATATCCAAATAAATGACCAATACTATGATGGAGAAATGCCACTTGATAAATGTGGATACCATCCTTTTTCTTTTTTTTTTTTTGGCAGTGGAGGAACAAAGGCAAAGTGGAAAAGTGGGAGGGGACAAAGCATTCTTTTGAAAAGAAACTTAATTAAATATTTGAACGGACAAAAGCTTTGATCCTTGAACAGAACCATGGACAGTCACCCAGGAATCACATCTACTGGATGACCAAACAAAAGGCAATACCACACTGTTCCATATACGATGCCATTCCCAATATATTCTCAGTGAGACTAATTTAATCAATTAGATAAATGTTACCATCGAATCCAGGAGAGAGAATGCAAAGATATTATTAGTTTTTCTTTACCATGTTGAAAGTGTAATATTCCGTATTTGCAAATTACTTAAGGTTCAATAGTACTACTGAAAAAGCATATGGACAAAAATCAACACTATTACAAATTGCTGCAGTGGATTTTTATGCCTAAAAGTCACCTCTAAATTGAATGGGACTACAGTCCATATTTATAGTTTAATATGACACATGGAATCCTCTTCACCGTGATGGGTATGCGAAACCATTAGTTGCAGAAGTTGAATAGCAAAGTTAATCAAAACCAGTATCACCAAAAGCCAGTGTCACAATCACAATAGATCTGAAACTGGACTGTGGTTTGATTCCACGGAAACCAGAATGACACCTCAATTTTTCTTTCAATCAAAGATTTTTTAAGCTTGACAGCACTGAATGCAACACATAATAATAATAATAGTAATAATAATAATAATAATAATAATAATAATCATCATCAAAACATACTTCCAAAAGAAATCTAATGAGACAGAAACCAGCAACTGTCCCCTGCAATCATATGCATCAGAAAGTAGGAATTCGAAACTCTGCAATATGCAATGGGTGATCCTCCCTTGATACATACTCATCAAGGGAAAGTTTACTATCCCACAATTTATAAATAACGATCTCCAGTGTCATGTGCACAAACAGTAAACAAGACAGAAATAAAGATGCTTCAATAACATGGAGATGACACATCACTTTTGTAAAATATCTACCTTAACATGTAACTTTGATCAAGAATGGGAAACATTTATGTCATGAAAACACTTACCCTCGCAGAGACACAGCCAGATAGAGCCATCGGAACAGTGTACATAAGACTAGTAGTCTGGATAAGAATCCCGGTTGCTGCAACAGCCAGCTTCGGATTAGGCAAGTAACCAGAAAGCACGGTCACTATCTCATACCACCACCACTCTAAACATATCCCAACACAACTTGGCACCGCCAACTTCAGCAACGGTCCCAAACCCCTACATATCCCTCCCATCCCGGCAGTCCCTTTCCATTCCCACATCCCATTCATGTACACATACCCTATAATTAGCACCACCATATGGAGGTTTGTTAAAACAGAAGCCATTGCCACTCCTCGGACCCCCAGCCCCATTCCCACCACAAGGACATAATTCAATGGCACATGGAATATCACAGCTATAAATGTACACCACATTTGAGGTTTGGTCACTCCCTGAGACCTTAGATAAACCCTCAAAGGCTGCAATAAGGTGTTGGTTAGTAAATCCGGGAGCGAATAGAGACAGTAAGTCGCAGCCATCTTAGTGATTTCAACATCTTGACCCAAGAACACCATGATTGACTCCAGATTAATCCATAATAAGCTTATGGGGATAATAGCCAAGAAAAGTATGAAGATCATACGCTGGAGAGAAAGCGATAATAAATCCCAATTCTTGCTTCCAAATGCTTGGCTACAAACTGGCTCCAAACCCGAAGCAAGACCTACTAAAACAGAATAACCAGTGATGTTTGTGAAACCAATTGAGAGGGCTCCTCCGGCTAGCTCCAAGCTTCCCAGCCTACCCAAAAACAAGACTGAAACCACAGCTCTCACGTAAACAAGGCAATTCATTGCGGTAATAGGCAAAGCCATAGACCAGAGCTCCTTCATCTCCTCCAAAATCTATAGGCAAAAAAAAATCCCAATAATTGAAATCAGAGAAACAGAGTTGCATAACACCAAGCATTAGCACAGCAAAAGCCAAAAAGAGCAAACTCTGTTTTGTTAAAACAATTTGCGAGAAAGATATAAACTTGTATATGATTTCAACTTCAAGCTACCCAACAAGTCCCTAAACCTTTGGTACACACATATGACAAAGAAATTCCAAAAGGGTGGCAGAATTTTTGGTGGGTTCTTCTTAAAGGGGACCCTGCAAGTCTACAAGGTGACAAAAACAAAAGTCTCCCAAGCTGTATAATCTGTATCTCCATGGAAATAAAACTAGCGGGAAAAAAAAAACAAGAAATTTGAACAGAACTTGTGGGATTCAACGGAATGTTACCTGACCGGAAGTGGGAATTTTGTGGGAGAAGAACCCAGCAGCAGGGTCCTCCGTTTCAGCCATTAATGAAATTTTTTAAGCAAAAAACAAAAAAAACAATTTCAATTCAGCATTTGGTCTATGCAAACAGCAAAAGAATTGAAATGGAGAAAGATATGAACTACACAAGTACAAATGGGGAAAGGGAAGGACGAATTTCTACAAGAAAACAACAGACTTTATTTTGCTATTAAGAGAGATTCTGAGAGTTAAAAATGAAAGGCAAAGATGCCAAAAGGTCACTATGAATGGAAAGGTGGTGAGAATATAAAGGCAGCAGAATATCAACTTTTTTTCTTTTTTTTTTCAGTCCTTTTATTTAATCATTGTTTAAAATCAATTTTGTACCCGATTATACTTTGCTTGGTTGGTATCAATATTTAGGTGACTGATTAACTTTGAATTTTTTTTGAACTTTCAAGATAGAGTTGAAATGATCTTTTGACCCATAAATAGGTGAAGAGATAGTTGATTCCAACCTAGTACTAAAAACTAAAAAGCACAAATTTTATTAATCAAGTTATAATTGGTAATTAGATGTTTGGCCCAGGCAGATGCCCGGGTGCCCTTTTTAAATTATTATTTTATTAAAATCTAATTGAATTACTATTTTTTGAGGAATTAATTTGGCGTATATATCATTTATGCTATAGTTTGGGGCTTAAAAAAATATACCTATAAATCTGAGGTTATAAAGAAATAATAAATAATTAGTTTATAAGACATTATTCTTAATTACTGGATTTAGGTTTTTTTTATTTTTTTGTTTATATTAAGCCTGCAAAACTGTACGATTGGACATTTGAATTTGAATTAATATATCCATTCGTTTGAAATGTAACTGATTCTTATTTGTAGAATTTTTTCATTGGACTCGGGTCACATTTAGAACATGTGTTTTTTTAAAAAAAAGTTTACTCCCTCCGTCCCATAATTATTGTCCACTTTGCCCAAAAAATTTTGTCACAAAATTATTGTCCAATTTGACTTTTTATAGATCAAATTACACATTTGTCCTTAGTAGAAAATATTATCTATAAAATCTTAGTGGTTAAACAATTACTTATGTAGGGGTATATCCGGTTGTTTAAGGTAAACTATAGTTAAGTTTGACCAAAAATAAAATATTTCATTTTAGTAAAACTGGACAATAATTATGGGACGGAGGGAGTATATAGCTTCTAATTAAAAAAGACTTATACGTGGCAAAAAGAGTCCTGAAATCTGAAATATGGTGTATTGGAACCAAAACAGATGCATACATAGTTACCACATAAGCTTCATGTCTTCTGCTTTAAAATAAGGTATAATAATATATATATATAAGGGATTTTTTGACACGACAATGAAATTGACAAAAAGAGTTAGACTAATACAGTATAACAAATGCGTCACGGGAAATCCAAATTGGGCGTAGAAATCATCTTGTATTTGTATTGCTCTAATGTTTATCATTATCAAAAGTGACCTGAATTAAGAGAGATATTTTAACACAACTATACATCTCGCTATAGATATTTATATGTATAATTCGAGATCAGGGATTATTCACATTACACTCTCTCGTATTGATAGAAATATTTTATTATAGGAAAAAATATTATTTTACATTCGTCTCAAAATAATTTGATTATCTGTTATATAATGACGTGCTTAGCCTGGTACATATGTATTTGTACAACATAATTTTTCTCCTAGGGGCCAGACAAATGGAAAAAGGGGCTGAACAAAGATATGATATCATGCTACGTAATTCCCCCACGGTTGATTAATTTATTTTAGTAGCTGGTACAAGTCAAAAGCATGGAGCAATGATATCATACTCTTTTTAATTTTATTTTTTTGTGAACAGGTTTAATTAAGTTTAACGTTATATTATACTCCATTTGTCTGGCCTTAAACACATCTATTCACCTAGTTAATGTAGTACATGTAGACTCACACTCATAAAATAAATAGTGGTTTTCCTTATCCACTTTGCATTGTGCAAATGATTATAATAATTTACTTGGCAACATAATTTATTTAATTTATGGGTAGTGATTCTCCCAGGACGATTTCTAGGATCTAAGGCAAAATTTTGCTTAATTTTCAAATTTACCCCTTATGAAGTCAAACTATATTTTTTCTCTCCTGAGGTCCAGTCATTTATAAATCTCAATTTTATTTTTCGCTCTCTTTTGTTCCTTTGCTGTCGGTGAAACTTTGGTGACGCTGCTTCCTCTGCTCCCAGTTAAAACTAAAATCGCCCCTCCTTTCCCTAGTTTGAGTAGCATGAGAAAGGGCACCCCAGAGAGGAGGAGGAGGAGGAGTACCCCATCGAGGAAAGGTTGATGGCGGTGGAGATCAGTGGGAGAATTAGGTCCGTCGATCAACAAAGTTGGCCGGCTAGGACGAGATTGGTAAATCTTTTGTCTAGAAGTTTAGATTGTTGTGTTGAGGAGAGCAGTGGTGTGCCCTTCCTTTTCTCCTATTCCGCCGTGACTGGTGGTTAATTGCGATTCCGACTCAGGAGACTATAACTGAAAGGATAAACCTGTTGCTTGAATTTGATAAAGTAAGTTCTTTATGGGATTATTTCTCGATTGGGGTAAAGTCAAATAAAGAAACTGATATTTCATAAATCAAAGTTGCTATTAGAAAGATTGATTATTGGGATATTTCATATTGATTGGGATATTGATTTGAATGCACTAAGGTTGATTATTGGGGTTTCTGTGAGCACACGCTCGAGTTTTCTTTGATGGTGCATTGCCCCTCAAAGAATCTATGTTGGAGCAGGGGATATGGCTTTTCCCAAGAAGTGATATTTTCAAGTAATTGTTGCAAGATGAGAAGGCTTTTCCCGAAAGAATTCTGATGATTCATCATGAAGTCCACATTTGTTTACCTAATTGTCTGGATTCACAGTTGAAAATATTTTTAACAAAATTGAGATATGGGTATTTATCTATATTCATTCGTGAAGGAGAAACGTGGAGGAGAATAAGGAAGTTATTTAGGAGGGGAAATCAATGGGAGATAAACTTGAAGAAGAATAGAAAAGGAAAAAAAAAAAAGATAATGCCCGAGATGGAGGAGAGAATTTCAATTTGATTTCATGAGAGATAGGTTTGGAAATTTTGTTATGGGAGAATAGGCCTTTTCATCCCAAGGTTTGAGGCACACCATCTAAAACATCCCAAAGTTTAAAAGCATGCCATTTTCATCCCAAATTTTTCAAAAATATGTAATATTAGGACATTTGTTAATTTTTTTCAAATTATTAACGGCGATATTGCATTCAGTTTCTTTTCTTCCATTTTTTTTTAGTCAAAAAAGTTTCATGCTTGCGTTTGGTAAATTTGGTCCATGTCAAGCAAAAAAGTTGCATGCCCCTGCATCAATTACAACACTAATTTTTATAATGATGCTACATATTTAAAAAAATAAATGAAATAAGGCTTACTTTCTAATATGGACACACACAAAACCTCTCATTATTGTTATCAATCTAGAAAGTGAATCTTGGATTTTTTTGTTTTTTCTTTTTCTAAGCAAGGGAAGAATGGATGATGTGAAAACCAAATTAGGTTTAGCTATTTTCTTATAAGGTAGGAGTCAGTGGAACGTGTTAAATGATTAAAAGAATTGGGGGTGGAGAAACAGAATAAAGTACCACCACTAATTAATTAACTGGAATTAAAAATTTAACGAATATCCTAATGTAACATGTTTTTAAAAAGTTTAGGATATAAATGGCATGTTCTTAAATTTTGGGATGTTTTGGATAGCGTGGCCCAAACTTTGGATGAAAGGACCCATTTTTCCATTTTGTTATGGATGCTAAAAATTGTCCTAGCAAAATCACTAACCTTAATTTATTTGTGATGCCTAGTATTTTACTTACTATAGTGCTATGACTATGAAGAGAAGATGTTTTATCCGAATTATTCGAAGTTATTTTTTCGAGAAAAAAAACATATATTTCCGTTTTATTAAACTTGTCGAGAATAGTTTAATTTGAAGTACGGAATTAGATAAAATTCACGAATAATAATGTTTTCATTCCTAAAAAAAATTACCTAGACAAGATGACTAATTCTATTAGTAAAAATAAAGAGTCCGAAGGCATGTTAGAAGGTACTAGTACTATTTTTCGTGTTCAAATAAGAGTCAAATTTGTTAAATTTAAGCAGCACAATAAACAAAATTTTTATTTTGAAACAACGGTCTAAGTTAGGAAAACATTTTTGATAACTAATGTAATGGCTTGATAGTTTTAAAGTTTTAACTTTTAAGCGAACTTGGAAAGTTTGGCTGTTTGGGTAGTGTCGAAATAGACAAATCTTTAAACAAAGGGAAACCAGAAACAATGAACCTGAAACACATCAGTTCATGAACTGAGAATGGGTTTGCAAATCTGTGTCAGTGGGAAGAAACTACACAAACATTATACACATAGCAAATGTCTTTATTTTTTTCTCCCACCGCCCACAATTTTAGAAAAATGCGTTTATTTCATTCAAATGAACCTTAACATTTTTTTAAAAAAAACTTTCGTGGTAGAATAGTAACAATTAATTTAATTAGTTAATAAATAGAATGGAAAAGATTAAAAAAAAAATTTTTTTGGGGGTGTAAGAAGAAATTAAAGAGTAGAACTCACAAAAATAAAAAATAAAAATTCTCCATTTTTTTTGATCTGGATTAATCAAAGTAATAATTTCAGGTAAGGACGCTTAATTAAAAAAAAAAATTCTCCCTCCCAGCACCCACAGGTCATCACATAGCACGTCTCAGAAAACACGTAGTACACCAAGAACACACGCTGGCAACAATCCTCTTTCATTTTATTCCTTTTTTCTTGAGTTTTTTTTTTTCATTTAAAGTCCAAATCAAAAAGAATAATACAGATATAATACTATTTCTAAGTCTGAAAAAGAATCCCCTTTTGCTATAGTGTTTTAATTTCAGAACCATGAATTTTTTATTTTTAATTTTTTTTTGTTTTCTCAGGGATGGAGGAAGTATTTTCAGAAATGTGATGACGATGGATGAGGAAATGGTTTCAAAAAAAAGAAAAAAAGAAAAAAAGGGACTTTCACATGCTTTGAGTTGTTTATAATATACTAGATTTATTATCGTCACGCTACGTGTGACTATTTTGAATCATGTCAATATGAATTCATTTTAAGTGGTCATTTATCATTATTAATTTGCAAGTAAAGCAAATAAATTAAGATGGTTTT